GGACAAATGGCTCCCCAGTAAAAGGCTGAGTCACTGGCAAGTGCAAGCCTCGTCTCCCATACTGAAAAGCTACTGGCTGTTTCACTGCAATTATTTCTCCTTGCAATGGAGTACCTCCTGTTGGATGCACAAATAGGTCCCCAAGGAGAAAAGCAGTTCCACTCAGGAGAACTAAAGCCTCTTCCTTTAACTTCCCCATAAATAAAAGCATAGCCTAAGACAGTCCCAAGGGTGGGGTGGATGGTGTGATCTGTGGTGTGGACCTCATTCTCTCCCAAGAGTAAGATTGCATGGAGAAACTCGGTTCTCACTAGCTTCCTCCTGAAACAATTCAAGAGTTTATAAACCCTACTATCATTTAAAGCTCTGAAGAATTTAATATATTTACTTTAGGTTTTTTATATTATTCACAATGATCTTCACCATTCAGATTTCTGCTTTTAGTCTTTTTTTAAAAAATATAATCATTTGTGATGCCCATAATAGATAAAAATTTTTAAAAGGGTTTTTTTTAAACCAATACTACCAACATTTACTTAAAAAGTCAAGTGGGGGGGACACGCCTGGCTGGCTCACTAAGTGAAGCATGCAACTCTTGATCTCGGGGTCTTTGAGTTCCAGCCCCAAGTTGGATGTAGAGATTACTATAAATAAATAAACAACAACAAAAAAACCCTGAAATAATGTTTGTTACTTTAAAGAGAGATTCCAAGTTTAACCATTTGATCACTCTTTTGGGGGTACCGCTGCAATTATCTTTGTCCTGGGCTAGTCATTAGCAAACCCCCACAAACCCATACAGTTCTTCCTGCCAGAGAGAAAATGGCCTCCTTTCTCAGCACTTTCCCTTTACCAGCCTCTCCTAAATGTAAGTCACACCAAGCCATCTCAAAGCAGACACACAGTCAGCAGGATTACATTTCCTACACTTTCCAAACCTTTGCTTCAATTCAAAAGGATCTGCAGTGAAGGCAAGAAGCTAAAAAGAGTAACCCGAGGCCAAATACCTGTTCCACATCAGGCTCAATGACCCTTTTAAATGGCTGCTTCAATGTCCAGAGATTAGAAGAGAGCAGGGCAAGATCTGCCCTAAGCATCAGTGGAAGCACCTCAGTACAGAGGGATTCTGAGTTGCTGGCAGCTCAGAAGGCTTCCTTATAAAAAGCACTCCAAAACCACAGAGCTGTTCGCGGCAGGGGGCAAGCCCGGGGAGGCGAGTTTATCTCACTGCCACTTCCACCTTTGCCCAGCGTCTACCTGTTACTCAACCCAGAACTGGAGCGAGCGGGATGAACTAGGAATAAGGAGATACGACCTTGACCAAGTCATCTATGCAATCTTCACTTTTCCCAGCTATAAAAGAGGACCAAGGAGGGAAAGAAAAGAAGGGGTAATAATCTACTTTATGGAATCACAGAATCAATTTAAATCCTTCCTTCCTTCCTTCCTTCCTTCCTTCCTTCCTTCCTTCCTTCCTTCATTCACTCAGTAAGGTTTGTGGATGTATTTCGGGCTCAGGATTTGGTGGGATGCTGCTGAACATCAAAGGCCTACCCCAGCACGTGGGTTTCTTGAGGCCTGTTGTCCGCCCAGCGCCGCGTTACCCCCACCTCCACCCCCCCACCGGGGACAAGCGTGTGGTCTGACGTTTCACTAGGATCCGCAGGAGGCTTTTGAAAAGACTTGGTTACAGCTGCTGAAAGACACTGGCTATCCAATTTAATACCCCGTCCCGAGTTACTGAATGCTCAGACTAGTAAATGGGAGAATTTCGCAAGGTGCTATCGTGGAGAATGCAGTGGGTTGCGGAGCGACTGCCCCCGGTCCTCTTCCCGGCGTGGCCCATCACACCACTGGGTGACCTTGAGCAAGTCGACCCCCCCCCCACACACACACATACACCCTGAAACCATTTTGCCAGCAAACTAAACTCCAGGAGAGCTGAGGCCCAAGGTCAGCCCTCTTCGTCAGGGCGCAGGGGCGAGCCAGGCGGCCCTCAACTAGCGGCGCCCGCCCGAGCCTCCGCACCCCCCACCCACAGCCCGGCCCGGCCCGTTCCTCACCTCTCAGCGCCTGCCCGCCGCGCTTCGCCTCCTCGTGCCCGGCCGGGCTCAAATCGGCATCGTACCAGCCGCTGAAGCGGTTCTCCAGGTTCCAAGCGCTCTCGCCGTGTCGGATCAGCACCAGCTTATAGGCTGCCATGGCTGCGGTTCGGAGTGCGACGCAGACTGGGACTCGCTGAGATTCCGGAGTCGCTGTCCGGCCCTAGCCGCGCCTGCGCCGTAGCACCCCAGCGCCCGGCTCTCGCGCACTTGCTCATCCAAAGCTTTCCACTCGCTCCGGGCCGCCCTCCACCCACCCGGTGTGCGCATGCGCCCCATGCCAGCGCTGCAGCCGCCGGGGGGAGGGGCGCGCTCGAGGACGCCAGAGCGCATGCGGGTCCCGGCCGCCGGCCTCTCGTCCGCTGCGGCGGTCACGAAGCGCACGTAAGCGCCGAAAGGCGGCGGGACTTTCGCGCGGCGCCCAGGCGGGCGGGCGGGCGTGCAGTAGCGTTAGAGAGCAGCCCTGCTCTCCTAGTGCTGCTATTCATAAGCCGATTGCCTTAATAAAGTGGCTGTTGTCATTTGAACCGCGCTTAGCTGCGCCAGGTCACTTTCCAACCCGTAAGCAGAGTTTGAGTCACACACCTCTGTTCGAGTCTTCACTCTTCCATTTTATTGCTTTGTATCTTTGGGCAGGACGCTTAACCTCGCCCAGCCTCATTTGTGAATGGACATAATAAATAGCTGGTGCCTATCTACCTGGAGTGTGCTCAGTAAATAGCCGTTACTATTGCTATCTCATTTTAGCGGATACTGATCTATTTCACATGTAAGAGAACTGGCTCTGACCACTGGTTCCAAAGCCCTGCTGTTTACGATAAATACTGGGCTGTTTGTCCCACCTCTTCGCGGGTTTCATGGCCTCTCTCTAGTCAGTGTGTGGGCCCCTTCAAATATTTCAGAAAGAGGAGAATCACTGCCTGTTCCTCCCCTACACCCAATCAGCAGTTAAAATCTGCTTATCTGGACAGCTCTCTGCTGCCCATGCCTCTATCTCCTGGTTTATTTCAAACTGTTCACTTTATTGAGCACCAAACAGGAGTCAGTCAGTGGACTAGGGCCAAAGATGGTTTGCATGTGTTTTCTGCCCATCACAGCAAGTGGAGTGCAAAGAAGACCCACATGTAAACAGCTAGCAGTGAAATTGTGCTGTGTGCTACATTTAACAGGTTCTGGAAAAGTTTTTAACATGCAGTCAAAAAAAAAAAAAGGTGCCAGCCAGTGTAATAAGTGCTTTACAAACATTAACTCATTTAATCCTCATATCTTCATAATGATCCTATAAAGCAAGTATTATATTTCTTTTATTTACTGAAGAGGAAAATGAGGCATGAGGTAAATTGCCCAAGGTTACAGGACTTAGGATTCAAGCTGAGGCTTGCTCCCAAACCCATGTGTGCTCAGACCCAGAGAAATAAATTGTCCAAAATCACAGCTCAGAAGTAGAAGAGAAACCAAGATTCAAACCCAAGCAGTCCAACGGCCGTGGGTGCCCTCTAACCACGGTGCTCTTGGCCTCCTTCCTCTGCAACTGGGAGAAGATGGAATTCAATGACCAGAGAGATGACAGGGGTGAGGTCTGGCTCTAAAAACTACACCCTGAGCTCACAGAATGCCAGGGCTGCAAAGTGAGAACTGCCTTTGAAGGCCTCCTGGCCAGGCTCCAAGCATGGCCCACATGGGGATACCTGAAGGACTCCCTCCCTGGAGGCTCTCCCTCTGCTTGCTCCTACTGCTTGGACATCCCAGTCCTGACACCCAGCCCCTCTCAGGGAGAGCTTTTCCAGCCTCAACCTTGGCTTTTCAGACTGTACTTTTTGTCCCTCTGCGTTGGCCCTAATCCATCCTCCCAGTCACGGCTCCCGCCATGTCCCTTTCTCCTCCCCCTGCTCTCTGCTTCAAGATTTCTGTGCTCTTATCTAGTTGAGGTCTCACATTTATGCAATGAGTAGGAGATATAAATAGAAAGAAACCTTAGTTCAAATGCTTCTGCTTCTGATTACCCATGGGACGTAAGATGGGTCACTCAACTTCTCATCCTCATTTTCCCCATCTGTAAACTGGAATAATCATATTCATAGCCACCTAAAACACTGTTGTAAGGAATAAGTGAGATGATGCATGGGAAGCGATTAGCACTTCGCCTAGCGGATAGTCATACTGGTAACAATAACTATATTATTAACAATAATAAATGTTATTAGCAATATGATCAGGAAGGCAAAAAAGATCAGGGTGCCTGGTGGCTCAGTCGGTTAAGCATTCGACTTAGGCTCAGGTCATGATCTCTCGGTTCCTGACTTCAAGCCCCACGTCAGCCTCCGTGCTGACAGCTCAGAGCCTGGAGCCTGCTTTGGATTCTGTGTCTCCCTCTCTCTCTCTGCCCCTCCCCCTGCTTGTTCTCCCTCTTTCCCTCTCTCAAAAACAAATAAACTTAAAAAGAAGGCAAAAAGGGGCGCCTGGGTGGCTTAGTCGGTTAAGCGTCCGACTTTCGCTTAGGTCATGATCTCGCGGTTCGTGGGTTCGAGCCCCGTGTCGGGCTCTGTGCTGACTGCCAGCTCAGAGCCTGGAGCCTGTTTCAGAGTCTGTGTCTCCCTCTCTCTCTGACCCTCCCCTGCTCACGCTGTCTCTCTCTCTCTCCTAGAAATAAAAAAATTAAAAAATAAAAAAAAAAGAAGGCAAAAAATATCTGGGTTGTCTGGGTGGTTTGGTCGGTTGAACGGCCGACTTCAGCTCAGGTTATGATCTCCAAGTTTGTGTTTGAGCCCTGCATTGGGCTTGCTGCTGTCAATGCAGAGCCCGCTTCAGGTCTTCTGTCACTCCCCCACTCGCACTCTCTCTCATAAATAAATAAAACATTTTTTTAAAAGGCAAAAAAGATTTAATAAAGAGCACCAACTCAAAGGGTATGATTCTGGGGACCCATGGACGGATTTCCCTTCTAGCAGGATAGCCAGTGGGGGACGGCTTACCCAAGGGATAGGGACGGGCAGATAACTAGGATACTTTGAGCAGGAAGCCAAAGCCATCTGTACCAGCAGCCTTGGGAAAGAGTCTGGGAATCCTATTTTATTCCTTCACCAACTTCACCCCATGTAACAGAGGGAAGTGAGGTGAGACATTCCAAAAGAGCAGGAGATGAGAGGTCAGTGAGAAATCAGAGGTGATCCACAGGGAAGGGCCCCCAAGTTGGAGTTTGCAGTGTCAGGGAGAGAGACAGAAGCCCGGAGAGATCTGGAGAGCGAGGCAGATGGGGAGCACAGAGGGAAGACCTTGAAAGCTATGCAGCTGGAAGCCAGAATTCCTAGGCAGAAATGGGATTCACTCAGCTTCAATCACGGCATCACAAATCTAGGAAGAAGCTTAGTGCCTATCAAACCAAAGAGATCTCTCAAATGTCAGTAAAAGGTAAGGAGAAGCCAGTGGGTTTGCCCTTGACTACATTTTTTTTTTTAAATCTTAATTGTTATCTCTACTGAACACGAATGCACATACATTTGTCAGGGCTGACTCCTGGGCACTTCTAAAGAACTAGGTGGGTGCAGGAGGGAACTGGTACATCCCGAGGACAAAGCAGGAGTGAGGGGCTGATTGCATCTGGGGTCTGGCTCCAGGAGGACCCTAAGGGACCCACTGTCTGGCTCCTAACCAGGTCCCTGCCCTCACTTTCTGCCCTGAGGGGAGCAACCTCGGCCAAATAAGACCCTCTTCCTGGGTGGAGTGTGGGGATCCGTGTTCCAGACTCTTCTCATGTGTCATCTCCTGGGCCAGGGGTACTCATCAACGATGAGCTGTCATCTCCACCTGAGGCCTCCAGGCAGCCTGGAAACCCTGAACTCTTAAGGCAAATAGCTTCCTTTCTAGCACAGTCCTTTAATTCCCCAGGCCTGGGGAAGCTCCCAGGACTGTAACAGCTTTCACCCAAGCAGCTTGTCGGTTAAGCTGTTACAAAAGCTCAGATAAGGATAATCAGCAGGCACAGCCTATTACCCTCCACTGTCCCTTAAAACAATAAGGGACTCTTGCAGCCTTCCCTCCGGATTTATTTTTTTCCACAGTAGTATTATAACTTCCTTATCAAACCCCGAACTTTCGGTGAAGGACCCAATTTAGAATTGCAGTGCGGCAAACGGAGTTTTCTGCTGGCTGGAAGTGGGGGTGGCTCCCTGCTCGGCCCACAAGGCTCCCTGGCAGGGCACCCCATGTCCTTACTTGTTGAGCATCTTGCACATTCATCCCCAGATGTTCAGACGTCCCCAGCTCAGCTGCTGTCTGCAGAAGAGAGGATTCCAGATCCCTGCCTCAGAGAGTGAGTCCAGGGGATCGTAGCTAATGCCTCAAGACTGAGCGTGTAAGGAAAGAAGTGCTTCTAGAACGGGTGAAGCATGCCCCTGCGGTCACCATCTGACAACAAACAGCAGGGATTAGCGTGGCTGGAAAAGAAAGGACGACACTACTTTGCACTGGTGGTTCTTACAAACCCCCGGACAACACCCTTCCTTCTCTGTCCTCAAAACCTAGCCTCAGGGGCACCTGGGTGGCTAAGCCGGTTAAGCGTCTGATTCTTAATATCAGCTCAGGTCGTGATCTCACCATTCCCGAGTTCAAGCCCCATGTCAGGCAGCACAGAGCCTGCTTGGAATCCTCTCTCCCCGCCTCTCTCTGCCCCTCCCCCCCTCAAATAAATGAAAATAAACATTAAAAAACAAAACAAAACCCAGCCTCAGACTTGAGTGTCTGGCCCAGCAATGACACAAGCCCTTCTCTCTGGATTCTAGAACTTCTCTGGTCTCTAAAACCATGAGGGGTGGCCTCTGCCTCTAAGCCCTGCGTGTGGGAATTATGATAATAAAGCTGCTCAGTGAGCAAACTTTTTTGACCCTTCTACCTCCCTTCGCATAGTACTATTTTCCTAGTTTATTTCTTCAGGTTAAATTCTAAGTACAAAACAGGCAGACATTGTATTATTTGGGAATAGTTCATATTAAGAATGACTAAGAGATCAGTGGTATTAGTTAATACAGGATCTCTGAGAAGCAGTTGTGAGACAGGATTTGCATAAAATGGATGAGGGGAAATGCCTGAGACAGAATGGGGAGGTGACAGGCTAACAGAATAGGTGTGACCCTCTTGAAGGAAGGAGGAAAGGAAGGTTGTATGGGTGGAGGCATCTGGACTGCAGAACATTTCTGAGGAAATTCAGTGAGGCTGTGGAGGAATTCTCGAGCCAAGATCACTCCTCAGAGCAGGCCTTGCCTTTGTGTCACTGACTCAGGGATACTAAGTCACAGCTGGACAGCCTGTGGGCAGCGTGGCTTCTGTCTGAATGCTATGAGGGATTTCAGAGTGACACAACAGGGGCCCTGGGTCAACCAGCTGTTTGAGATCTGAGAACTGTATTCTAAGCACTGAGTGAGGACATTGTACAAATTTGTCAGAACTGTTTTTATGTGTGCACTAGTGACTACTAACTGACCGACTTAGGAAAGCTATTAAAGGTACCTGTCAGCCAATGCCAAGGTGACCGGGTTTCCAATATGCCTGCTAGGGATTTTGATGGGGGTAGAGCAGGGGAGCTCGTGGCTGTCATTACTTCTCAGTGCAGTGGAGAAAATGCCTGTGTCCCAGAGGTGACAACAGGAGCCAATTCTGGGGCGTCTCACCTAAGAACTGTGGACGAGAAAGAAAAACAATCAGAAACCCACATGAGTTGCTCAGGTGGTTAAACACAGAGTTACCATAGGAGGCAGGATTCCATTCCTAGGTGTTTATGCAAGAGAAAGAAAAGCAAATGTCCACACAAAAATTCATACACAAATGCTTGTAAAAGCATTATTCACAAAAGCCAAAAGGTGGAAACAACCCAAATGTCCAACAGCTGCTGAATGGATAAAAGTACACCATGTCCATACCGCGGGATGTTATTCGGCCATAAAAATGAAGCACTGGTACATGCCAACCTGGATCAGCCTTGGAAACAATATGCTGAGTGAAATAAGTCAGATGCAAAAGGTGATGCGATGTAGGATTCCGTTTCTATGAAATGTCCAGAACAGGTAAACCTATAGAGACTGCAAGTAGATTAGCGTTTGCCTAGTGCTGGGGACTTGGGGGCTGAAATACAGGGTATGGAGTTTCTCTGTGAGTTGATGAAATGTTCTAATTTTTTTTAACGTTTATTTTTATTATTGAGACACAGAGAGACACAGAGCATGAGCAGGGAAGGGGCAGAGAGAGAGGGAGATACAGGATCTGAAGCACGCTCCAGGCTCTGAGTTGTCAGCACAGAGCCCAATGAGGGGCTCAAACCCACAGACCGTGAGACCATGACCTGAGCTGAAGTTGGACGCTTAACCAACTGAGCCACCCAGGCGCCCCTGTAATGTCCTAAAATTAGCTGTGGTGATGGTTGCACATATCCCTGAAGTGTACTAAAAACATTCAGTTGTGCAATTTAAATGGGTGAAGTGGATGGTATGTGAATTCTAGCTCAGTAAGGCTGATTTAAAAACTCTGTGAGAGCCTGCCCCTCAAGAGCCATTGCTCAAGGGCAGGGAAAGGGGTGTGGGGGGAGAGCTCAGGGACACCTGCCATGAAGCAGTTTTGGGGCAGTGCTGAATCTCCTCAGGTGGCTCCAGGGACGCCCCACAGGGGGTGGTTGGGCCAGCACACTTGGTTCTTACTGACTCAACGGAGAGACTTGAAGGCAGTGTCAAGTCGAGGCCTTGTGACAGCAGGGACAAACACTTTGAGGTCTGGCCTCAGGACCCAAACTTTGTCCACAGACACCTCATGTCTCCTTCCAGGCAAGTGACTGGGAGTCAGGTTCCTGGGTCCCATTTCTGACTTCATATGTGACTCCACGCCAGGGCTTGCAACCAACTTTTCTCCCGGATCCTCGAGCGTCTGGGGAACACCCAGCCCCAGGACCTTGGAGGGAGGTGATGGACACCAGACCTTCCTGCCACAGCAGACCAGGCAGGGAGGGGCCTCATCCCAGACAGCCTCTAAATCCTCTGGAGATCTATCCTCTTGAGCAAACATGGTTCACTGTTAAAGTGAAACGCCCTTGGGAAGGTGAATGGGTTTGAGCTAGCAGTCACTTGAGGGGGAAAAAAAGTTCTCATTTTCCAAAGATTGTCCTGTTGCCATGGCAACGAGTAACCACCACGAAGGGTTTTAAACCATTGAATGGATGACAGCTCATCTCTGTTTTACTAAACTATGACAATTTGCCTCTGTGACCACACTTCTGTGAGCCAGCCAATCAGCAGTGGCCACACTGCATCACCAGCCAGTCCCTACACTCTGCCTCCTCTCTGTCCATCACTGACCTCCACCCCTCCCAGCACCTCACAGAAGATCCTTGCTCCCCTGAAAGAGATCGCGCCTTACAGGTATTGCTCTGCGCTGCTTAAGGAAGTAACAGATTCAGCTTTTTTGTTTCAGATATTAAGAAGTGGTCTCTTCCATCGACACGTGTTCTGAAATATCCCCTTCCCGGGAGTAATTTGTCCTCCCTTCTAGGGCCATTGCTCCAGTGTCACTGGTGAATTAGAAAAAAGCCAACTCTTCTAGACAAGGCCCAACGAGGACTGGATTTCCAATCCCTCAGCTGGAAAATAAAGCAGGCCACAATTTGCACAACTGCGTAAATGAAGCAGTCCACAGTTTGCACACTGCGTACAGCAACACTGCTCACCCCTCATAACTGGTAAGCCAGTGAGTGCTGCCCGTTCTCCTTCCTAAATACATTTTCCAATCCGTTGCCTCCTCTCTACCCCACCTCCACTGCCTTCGCCCCTTAGGTTCTTGCCTGCGCTAGTGCAGTAGTCTCTAACTGGCCTCGCCGCCCCAGTCTTGCTGGCCTCTAAAGCGAACATCTCATGCTCCTGCTGGCCCCTGTGCCTTTGCAGCTGCCGTTCCCCTGGCTTGGCCTGTACGTCCACCATCACCTTTCTGGTCAACTCCTCCTCGTTCTGCACAATTCAGCTCCAACATCAGTGCAACAGACTGAATGTGTATGGCCCTCCTCCCCAAATTCATATGTTTAAGTCTGAACCCCCAGTGTATGATATTCCAAGGTGGGGTCTATGGGAGGTGATTCGGTCATGAGGACAGAGCCCTCATGACTGGGATTGGTGCCTTATAAAGGAGACATCACACACACACACACACACACACACACACACACACATCAGGCGACACCACAGAACTTCCTAGCACCTTCTGCTGTGTGAGGACACAGCAAGAAAAGACAGTGGTCTATAAAACAGGAAGTGACCCTTACTTGATGCTGAATCTGCCTGCTTCTTGATTTTTTTTTAATGTTTAATTTTTGAGGGGGCTGAAGAGGGAAAGAGGGAGAAAAGAGAGAAAGAGAGAGAGTCCCAAGCAGACTCCACACTGTCAGCATGGAGCCCAGTGCAGGGCTCGAACCTTTGAACAGTGAGATCATCAACCAAGCCAAAATGGGAGTCTGATGCTTAACTGACTGAACCGTTCAGGCGCCCCTCCCTGCACCGTGAGCTTGGGCGTCCTAGACTCCAGAACTGTGTAAAACAAATTTCTGTTGTTTATAAGCAGCTCAAACAGACCCAGACAGTCACCTTCACCTTACCCGAAAGTTGTCCCTGACTCTCCCTAGGCCTGACCACACCCTGCCATGCTTGGGGCTCCCACTGCACTGATCATCACCACCAGGTGCCTTTGCTGCCACTCCAACCTGCCTGTGAGCACTGCATCTCTCATCTCTCTGTGACCAGATGGTTGTGAAGGACAGGACCTAGGAACAAAGTAAGTTACAATTCCAACTCTGCCACTTAATGCTGTTGGGAACTTAAGCCAGTTACTTGACTTTTCCCAGCTTTGTTTCCCTTTTTGTAAAACGTGGATAACCATACTTGGCACCTTCCAGGAACAGGAGGCAGGGATCGAAGCCTTGTGAGTCTGGTTTTCAGTTGAGGTAGAGAAGATAGTGATTATATCCACAAAGTCCAGAATGGGGTGTAATTACCTCCAGGACTGGGCTTCATGATAGTCATTCAAGTGGATTCTTTAACAATAAAGAATGTAATAATACAGTTTTCAAAAAACAATAGCACCTACTGCACAGCGTGGGTGTGAGGACTCGGCAGAATCATGCACGTAAGGTGCTGGGCACAGGACCCAGCTATGTAAGGACTGATAAATGGTAGTTATTGCTATTATTATAACGAAGAATCCCTGACACAGAGACATTCATTAAATGTCCATTCCCCCTCCTCGTCTGCACCACAATGCCCAATATACTCAATGGTAATGTGTACTGGCTGAATAAATGGAGGGCCAGTACTCCTAAAGTACAAGCCCCTTAAAGTATTTTCCCAGGTTGCAATGTTCCAAAACTCCCTATTAAAACCCAGACTCTTCATCCAGACCCTCAGTGGCCTTCAGGATCTGCTCCCAATCTACTCTGTCAGTTTCACATTTGGAAAGTAACCTCCTAATTGAAGATATCCTTTTGACGGCCACTGAGGTAAAGGTGTCTTCTTGGCCCCCCAAAGCTTTACTTGAACCTCTCTTGTGCCTCCAGCCGAGCTCTGATTATGTCATGTATTCATCTGGCAAATAGATGTACTGCACACCTACTATGTGCCACACACTGAGGTAGGCTCTGATGACACAAGAGTGGACCAGATATGGTCCCTATCCTCAGCAGGTCCACGGTCAAGGAGGAGGCAGAGAAGCAAAATACAGTCCTATTTATATGCACCGCCTAAGTGAGCACAAAATGTAGTTCTATGGCTTGAGCTTCAGTGAGCATGAAAGTTTCATGGTCCTGGAGAGAACCAGGTACAACGTCCTCAATTTACAAAGGAGGAGACTGAATGGTTGGCTTTATGCTTGTGTCTGCACCACTAAGCTGTAAGTTTCTTAAGAGCAGAAAAAGAGTCTTCTAGCATCTTTATGTACCTCCATGTGCTTGCTTAGCACAGTGTCTTGCATATAATTACTGCTCAAGAAATAACTTGTGGGCATGTGACTGAGTTAAATTGTTTAGAACCAGGGACACCTGGGTGGCTCAGTCGGTCAAGTGTCTGACTCTTGTCTTTGGCTCAGGTCATGATTTCGAGGTTCCTTGAGTTTGAGCCCTGCATTGGGCTCTGAGCTGACAGTGCAGAGCCTGCTTGAGATTCTGTCTCCTCCCTCTGCCCCTCCCCCACTCATTCCCTCTCTCCCTCTCTCTCAAAAATAAACTTTAAAAACTGTTTAGGGGCGCCTGGGTGTTAAGCGTCCGACTTTCGCTTAGGTCATGATCTCACGGTTCGTGGGTTCGAGCCCTGCGTCGGGTTCTGTGCCGACTGCCAGCTCAGAGCCTGCAGCCTGTTTCAGTCTGTGACTCCCTCTCTCTCTGACCCTCCCCTGCTCACGCTCTCTCTCTCTAGAAATAAATTAAAAAAACCTTAAAAAAAAATTAAAAACTGTTTAGACCCAGTCTCCCCAACACGTAGCTGAGTTCCAGAGGCTGTTCATTGTTTACTCTATATGAGTTCTTCCCTTCTACCTTAGCAATACAACTCTCCCGGCTGGAGGGTGGGGCTGCAATGTTCCCCGCTAAAAGGCTGTTACATTTCTCAATCCCTCTGCAGTTAAGTTTGGCCAAATGACTAAATTCTGGCCAAGCATATGTGAGCAGAACTGGCTTAAAAGGAGCTGACTTGGCTCTTCCTTGCTTTCATCTTACTCAGTCTAGGCCTGGATTGTAAACGTGATGGTTGGAGCTCCTGCAGCCCATCTTTGGAGTATGAGGTGATATCAAGGATGGAAGTCACACACCATGGAGGGTGAAGGAGAAGAAGAAAGGAAGCCCAGGACCTGAAGACTCTATGGAGACACTGTATTAGCCTGGATTTGCCCATCTACCTCCTGATTTGCTGAAGGTGGAGAATTAATCCTGTGTGTTTAATTAAGCCACTCTCTTGGGGTCTCTGTCACAGCAGCTGTGCATAATTCATTCCTGATACAGAGGCCCTGACATGAAGAGGAGTTGGAAGTAGCAAGGGGGGAAATGCCTAATTCTAGAGTAAGAATGAATTTGGGGCCATCAGGATGCCGGTTAGAGCGGCAATCACATGGTCTCTGCTCACTCCTATCCCCTTCATGGACACCTACTGTCAGGTGGCAAACAAGGGTGGCCCCCCTCTGAGTAAGAGCACAACTGCCATACCCCAATTTCAGTCCTTTTCAGAATCTGGGGTCCTCTTTTGTGCACCAGGCCATCTGCTCATCCCCCTCAGACTTAGTCTAGGAAGCAAGCTCTTCTTAAAAGCTCTTCTTCTGCCAAATGGGATGTTAATGCCCCAGAAGCTGAGGGACATGCAGCCTTCTGTCACGATAACATGTCAGGCACGGCGCTAAGCTTTCTGCATGTATTATCTCATTTTAGCCTCAGAACAGCAGCCCCATTTTCAGGTGAGGAAACTGTGGCTCAGAAAGTTCAGTCACCTGCCCCTGGTCACACCTGGGATGTGGCTCCAAACACAGGCTTGCCTAAGTCCAAAGTCTGGGCTTTGACACAGCTCTGGCAGTTAGGACAGTACGCTGGAGCAGCTGTAAGCCCACTACCTTGCTCACAATGGGCTGCCCAGGGCGACAAAGCCCTTCTTCCTCCCGCAGAACTTGACCCCCAAGTTAAACACCCAAATCATCCATCTGCTTCCTCTTTGTTTGGGGCAAGAGGCTAAGCCTCAACTTCCCTTTCCTCCTGCCCAGTGTCATAACAGATAACAGCCTGATTGACCTAAAAATGGCTTTCCTGTTGGCCTTGGGCTGAGTGCTTTGGGTGCAGCAGCCTTGTCCCTTCACATGAGCTTCACAATTTTGAGAGCAGTGGTTACAGAGGGAGCTCCTCAGCTAAGGTTTGGATCTCTTGGCTTTTGTCCATCGACCAACTGTATGATGTTGGGGGTGTCGATGAACCCGTTGGAATCACATTTCCCCATCTGTGAAATGAGGACACCACTCTGTCCTCCCCAGTTACATAATAGGTTAGATGGTATTTGGGAACTCAAGAAGAGCTTTTTGGATAATACTAGTGAGTTCACATTTATTGCCTTCTCATAAAGTGCCAGGCAGTATGCTAATAAGCACTTTATATATATAATCTTACTTAGTGATCATAAACTCTATGGGTTGGCATTTTATAGCTGAGGGAAACTGACGCTCAGAGAGTAAGGTGACTTGCTCAAGGTCAGACAGCAAGTGGTAGTACTTGGATTCTAACCCAGAAGTCTAACCACAGGACTCATTCGACAAATGTGAGTGGTCCTTATTAGCCATAAATTGTATGGATTATCACGGAGAAGGCTAATTAATTCGTCTGGGTGGAAGATGATGTTGGAATTCATGGACAGCAAATTAGTCCTTCATCAGAAAGGTGAACGGTGGCTGTACAGAATGTGAGAAAGTATGCTCAGGCCACCTGGATGCCTTGTGTCCCTTCTCCTGACACCATCTTCTGGAAGAGGTTTAGAGCAGATGCTTCCAGAGGGAGGCCCAGCCCACTCCAGACAGATCGTCTGTCCAGAGGCCGTACCCAGTTATAATTTAGCAGACTCGGGGCGCCTGGGTGGCTCAGCTGGTTAAGCGTCCGACTTCGGCTCAGATCATGATCTTGCAATCTGTGAGTTCGAGCTTTGGGTTGACAGCTCAGGGCCTGGAGCCTGCTTTGGATTCTGTGTTTCCCTCTCTCTCTGCTCCTCCCCCACTCATGCTCTGTCTCTCTCTCTCTCTCTCAAAAAATAAATAAACATTAATGTAGCAGACTCAGTTTGGAGGCCAGCAGGTGTCCGCTGCCTGGGAAAAGGACGGGAAGGCTGCCACTCACCCGGGCCTCTTCATCTCCCTAGCTGATCTGCAAACTCCCGGGCTGCTCAGCCGGTATTGCTGCCTCTCTATAGGGTTTCAGTTTTAACCGGCTGTTTGCAGAGCCCCCTCTGGTGGCAAAGGTGCACCACCACACCCTTCACAAGGTACCACTAACATTTCTGGAGTTGTACATATTTTAACATACACACACACTATTATATCGAATCCTCAGGGTAGCCCAATGGGTTCAGTATTATTATCACCACTTTACAGAATAGGAAATGGATGCTCAGAGGGGTTATATCCCTGCTGAGCATCATGTGGTAAAGTAAGACCAGGCTTTAACCAACAATTTCTAGGTCTTCTCTCAGTGACTGTCCCTACACCTAGACCCCCTGGTCATGAGCATCAGGTTGCTTACAACAGTTTCCAAACTCGGTTTCCTTTTCCTCCTCAGGCCACTAGTTCCCTTTTCGTAGCCTCACGTCCCAGATCTCAGCCTGTGTCCCAGGAGTGGCCTCTGTGGGCAAGTGATGAATTAACTCCCGTGACAGGAGGGGCAGCACTGAATTCTTTTCTCTGCAGTGACACTTCCTCAGTCTTCATGCTCTCTTTGCTCTGCATTCCAGGAGAACTTTGTTTTTTGGTAAATATTCAGTCAAGAGTAACATATATACAGAAGAGCGCACAAATTACAAGTGCACAGCTAATGACTTACGACACAGTGAAGACATCCACGTAAACTCCCTTCTGATAAAAAATTAGAATATTACTAAATCCCGTGTGCCCACTCGCAGTTACTCCCACCATGTAACTGTTATCCTGACTTCTTATACTGTAGATTAACAAAGCCTGGTTTTGAACTTCTAAGTGGGGTCATGCAAAATGTTCCTTTGTGTGTGTCTGGAGTCTTTCTCTCAATTTAGACCATACATGCTGTCACATGTAGCAGTAGTTTGCTTGTTTTCATTACTGTATACAGTTGAATACTATATTATTTCATGATACTAACATAGCACAATTTACCCACCCTGCTGTTGGTATACACGACGTCATTTCCAGTATTTGACTATTATGAACCTCATCATATATATGTCTTTTATGCATATAAGGATATATATCTCTGTAGAGTATATACCCAGAAGTGAATTGCTGGATTACAGAGAAGGCATACATTCAGTTTTACTAGATACCGCCACATAAAAGTGGGTGTATCAGTTGATATTCCCTTCAATTGCATACGTGGCCAGTGGCTCCACATACTGGCCAACACTTAGTATGCTAGTCCTTCTAATTTCAGCCATTCTGGTAGGTGCGCAGTAGTATTTCATCGTGGTTTTAATTTGCATTTCTCTGCTGATTAATGAGATTGAGCATCTGTTATTAGCATCCTTTTGTTAATTGGCCATTTGAATAGTCACTTTTGTGAAGTGCCTGTTCCTGTCTCTTGCCCATTCTTACTGGATTGTCTGCCTTGTTCTTAGATTTGTAGGATTTCTTTATATATTCTGCCATACTTCGTTAGTTTTATGTATTGCAAATATCTTCTCTCACTCTGTCTTGCCTCTTAGTGCTCCTTGTGGTTTCTTTTTGTGAGCATAATTTCTTACATTTGGTGTGCTCTAGTTTATCAGTCTTTTCCTTTATGGTTACTTCTGTGTCTCATCAAATAAGCTACCATGCTGTGGAAACTTGTGCAAGTCACTTCACCTTTTCTGGACATGGCAAAATGAAGAGTTGGCTCAGATATTCCAGAAAATTGGCTTATAAATATTTTGAATTTTACACATCAGTAACTTTTTTTTTTTAAGAGAGAGAGGGTCCAAGTGAGCGAGGGGCAGAGAAAAATCCCAGGAGGAGAGAAAGAAAGAGAGAGAGAAGCAGGGCTCACCGGAAGCAGAGCAGGAGCTCACCCAAATCAGGGCTCCTGCTTATTTGATGTGGGACTCGAAATCACGGACCATGTGTGATCATGACCTGAGCTGAAGCCAGATGCTTAGCAACTGAGCCACCCAGGCACTCAGTAAACTTGTTTTTAAAAGGAGAAGACCTGACAAAAAAGTTTCCCAACTCTTTGTTTTGGCAAATAATAGTGTTTGGGGGAAAACACCCGTTCATTTCATCTCACTATTGCTTTGTAAAAGAAAGGGCATTTGAACACAGCATCACTGGACCGTACTTGTTTTACTGCAAAGCAGTAAAGGACTTTGTAAAAAAGTATTGACCCTGATTGGCATGTGACCTGTGCTCTCGATGACCCCTCAGGTGCCTGCTTCTAGCACCAGCATTGCAGTTTTATGAATTTCATGCTGGCCTTCCCTTTACTCTCCATTTCTAGCTCTTTGGTTCCTGGACCAAAGCTCAAATTTTGGTACTTCTTAACTCCCTCAATGTATGTTTTGAGTTTTGTGTTTCTACGTATGGAGTCAAAGACCATCTCAGTCTGGTTATAAGTAAAGACTAATTACAGTTATTGGTATTTACATTTATCCTTGAATCCATGCTCAGTGTGGAGCCCAGTGTGGGGCTTGAACTCATTACCCTGAGATCAAGACCTGAGTTGAGGGGCACCTGCGTGGCTCAGTCAGTTAAGCATCAGACTCTTGATTTTAGCTCAGGCCATGATCTCATGGTTTCTGAGATTGGGCTCTGCACTGATCAACAGTGCTTGGAATTCTCTCTCACCTCTCTCTCTCTGCCCCTCCCCTTCTCTCTCTCTCTTTCTCAAAATAAAATAAACATTAAAAAAAGAAAAGACCTGAGCCCCTATTGAACTTGTGCCCCATTTAGTACCTTCTCTTTCCTCCACAACACACACATTTGTTCATTCAGCAATAGTTTGTTGAGTGCTACTATTTGCCAAGTGCTCTTTCAGGTCCTGGGAGAGGAAGTGACCGGGCCATACCCAGTTCTAATTTAGCAGACTCAGGAGCACCTGAGTGGCTCAGTTATCTGACGGAGTGGTCAAGCATCCGACTTTGGATCAGGTCATGATCTCTCCGCTCATGAGTTCGAGTCCATGTCAGGCTCTGAGCTGACAGCTCAGAGGCTGGAGCCTGCTTTGGATTCTGTCTCTCCTCTCTCTGTCTCTCCCCCACTCATACTCTGTTTTTCCCTCTCTCTCTCTCAAAAAAAAAATAATAAACATTAAAAAAAAAAAAAAGAACAAAGGGGTGTCTTAGTCTGTTCAGGCTCCTATACCAAAATAACACAGGCTTGATAGTTTATAAACAACAGAAATTTACTTCTTACAATTCTGGAGACAGGAAGTCCAAGATGGGGGTGCCAGCATGGTTGGGTGAGGGCCCATTCCTTGGGTCACAGCCAGCTCCTTCCTGCTGTGTCTTCACATGTTGGAAGGGACTAGGGGTCTCTCTTGAATCTTTTTTATAAGACACCAATTCTAGAGGTGCCTGGGCTTCCTGCCCTGTGCTAAGCGTGGACGGAGCCTGCTTGAGATTCTCTCTTTTTCTGCCCCTCTCCCACTTGTGTGCGCGCACACTCTCTCTCTCTCAAAATAAACAAACTTAAAAAAATAAAAGACACCAGTCACATTTAAGAGGGTTTCACTATCATGACTTAAATTATTTCCCAAAGGCCACACCCCTAACACCATGTCTTTGGGAGATAGGATTTCAACAGATGGAGTTTGCAGGGATACAAACATTCAGACCAAAACCGGGGTGGGGCGGGGGGGAATTCACACTGTACCAGGTGAAAGAAACCATATGCAAAAATTTTGTCAACTTATGGTTCATTCGTAAGATTGATTTATTGAAGTGTCTTTTTCAGTGGGAGCTAAAAAATACTTGTAAAATGAATGTGTTAAAGCCTAATCAGCAAAAACTCACCAGGGGGGCACCACAGCCTGGCTCAGTTGGTAGAGTGTGCAACTCTTAATCTCAGGGTACTGAGTTTAAGCCCCACGTTGGGTGTGGGGCTTAACAACAACAACAACAACAGCAACAACAAAATAAACTCACCAGGATCCAGTCGTACTTTGACAAAATCAGGTTTGTTGATTTGAAGTCGGGGAGGGAATTCCGGAGGAATCTTGAAATGCTGCACCCCAAGACGAGAAAGGAAAGTATCTTTTTAAGGTTTGGGTTCCAGCTAAAAGATTTTGGGGAAGGTCGCTGGGGAGCGGAAATCAATCCAGGATTGGTTGCTGGTTCTGACGTGCGGTTAGAAGAGACTTAACGAGAGGGGACTGGGTGCTGCCACGAGGGAAGGGGGTTTAGCACCTGGGTATCCCCAGTACTAAACGAAAACAGCTAATTGGGTTTAGAGCATCACCGGCTGTTTTTTTTTTTTTTTTTTTCTCGTTTGGAGACAAAAGATTTTCACTATTTCAGGTTTGGCCAGGTTTTGACTCTTTCCAATAAATGTTTCCGCGCCTTACTTTCGAAATTAGATGTTAAAAAATTATATAAATATACGTTTGTTTTTTAACCTGCAAAAGAATTCTTGCTCCATAAGGCCCACTCCGGGGGCTGAGAACGTCGCCCTGGAGTAGAAACCCCGGGGACTCCCTAGCAACCCACCTTCTCCCAGCTGCTCAGGGATTCTGAGCCCCGAGGAGTGTAAAACCGGATGTTGACTGTCTCGCCATAGTAACAGACGCAATTCCGGAAGTTACCTCAGAGAAAGAGGAAGTGAAGCGGTCCGCGGATCCACGTGGGTCGTGCGCGTGTTTCCCAGGCCCTAGTAGCCGGTGCAATAAACCCGGTCCCGGCTTAGAAGACATGGGTCGCTCGGGGAAGTTGCCTTCCGGTGCCTCGGCCAAGTTGAAACGCTGGAAGAAAGGCCATAGTAGCGACAGCAACCCTGCCATCTGCCGCCACCGCCAGGCCGCCCGCAGCCGATTCTTCAGCCGGCCCTCAGGTAGCGGGGTTGAGACCCCGGCGCGCTGGCGGTAGGATTTTAGCGGGTCTGGGCCTGATGGCCTGGGCCTCTCAGGAGGCTCCGGGGTCCAGTCATTGAACCTTTTTCCTCCTAGAACGTCGGATGCGTAGCCTGCAGTAAAGGCCCACCCTCCCCATTACACAGATGCGGAAACTGAGTCTTTAGTAGGGGAATGACTAGTCCAGGGTACCACGGGCGTCAGAGTTGGGACTCAGCTATAATTAACTTTGGGTGTCTCTTTACAAAATGCTTTCGCCTGCATTTACTTCCCAAGCCCCTGCCTGTGCCCCCCACCCCCATCCCGGTCGACTCCCTTTGGGATATTATGGGATGCGGTCCGGACGCGGAAAGCAGAAACTTACCTGCAGGGTTCCCTATCCGGGTTTTTGCTAAGTTCTAGGCGTTTGGGAGGCTGATGAGGCAGGCCGTTTTCAGAATAGCCTCTCGAATTGGGGGCCTGGACTCTACTAGTTTTTGTCGTATGGGTGGAGTGGCTCCCGGCCTAAAGGAAGTTAGGCTAGAAGTGGGGACCTCACCGATGCCTCCGGTTTTCAGGAAAAAGCGACCTGACAGTTGACGCGGTCAAGTTGCATAATGAGCTGCAGTCAGGGTCCCTGCGTCTGGGCAAAAGCGAAGCCCCCGAGACGGCCATGGAGGAAGAAGAGGTGGCCCCGGCTCTCACGGAGAAGTCCTCTGCCACCTTCCTGAGCGGCCTCTCGGACTGCACAAATGTCACCTTCAGCAAAGTGCAACGCTTCTGGGAGTCCAACTCAGCTGCCCACAAGGAGGTAGGGGGGAGGGTCAGGAGGACTCGGGATGATGAGGAGGAGGCCTACTCGGGCTTTTTATTTTCTTCCAGTCCCGGCTGCCTGCTGGCTGTGACAGCTGGTATTTTGTTGGGATGATGTGTCATCTCTCCTACCCTGTGTGGTCCCTACTCACTAGCTCTCTTAGGGCAGGCTCCACTTTCCGCTTTCTTCTAACATCTCCCCTGCTTAAGTGTACAGTCCTTCAGGGTAGAAATATTTTCCGGATTTTTATCTTGTCAGCTAACACAGGACTTTTTACATGGAATGGTTTCAAGAAACATTTGTTGAGTAAATTAATGCTGAATAACAATGGAGAGAAAATGTTTTCTCTAACGAGAACTACATTCTATTTGTATTTTTTAGTCGATACTTTTATATTATACATATTTATATTCACTGCTTAAATTGAAAGATGTCAGAATTATAAACGGTACCAAAGTGAAGTGAGTAGAATAAAAAGTGAAAGTTGTTCTCCCTACTTAACTCCTTTGTGGTAGTTACTGTTGATGGGTCATGAATCTACCTGGCCCAGCGCTGTCCAACAACACGTAACTGTAAAAGTTTTTAGTAGCCACGTTAAAAGAAAGTAAAAAGAAACAAATGACATTCATCTTAATAATATAAAGTATTATCATTTCAACATATGATCAATGTAAAATGAGATGATTAAGGGGGGCCTGGTGGCTCAGCTGGTTAAGTGTCTGACTCTTGATTTTGGCTTGGGTCATGATCTTGTGGTTTGAGCCCTCCATTGAACTTGGTTTTCTCCCTCTCCCTCCCTCCCTCTCGCTCCCCCTCCCTCCCTCTCCTTCCTTCTCCCTCTCCCTCCCTCAGCCCCAAGATGATTTGCATTTTTATCACATTAAGTTTTCCAAATCTAGAGTATTTGTTACCCTTACATCTCCATTTGGGTGCTGAATCTTTGAAAGTTCTTGATTTGGTCCTAAAATTTACTATCACAAAAGTAGGTTCCTATTTCTAAGTTCTAAGTCTGTGTTTCCATAAAACTTATAATCGCACATCTGTGTATCTAAGTTGTTTTAAATACGTGTTTTCCAATACCAAAATATTTATTTTGAAATTTAATTTAGTAAAATACTAAGATTAAAGATTCAGTTCCTCAGCCACACAAAGCCATGTTTCAAGTGCTCAGTACCCTCTCGTGAGCATTACTGTTCTAGACTTTTTTGTGTATTTTTTTACCCAAATTTTGTTAGGTTTAAGATCATATTTTATTTTTATTCTTATTTTTTGAAGGTTTTATTTATTTTTGAAAGAGAGAGAGAGAGAGAGAGCACAAGCCGGGGAGGTGCAGAGAGAGCGGGGCATAGAGGATCAGAAGTGGTTCCACACTGACAGCAGAGAGCCTAATGCGGGGCTTGACCTCTTGAACCACAAGACCATGACATGAGCCAATGTCAAATGCTCAACCAGCTGAGCCCCCCGGGCGCCCCCCAGATTATATTTTATATGTAGTGTTCTGCAGCTTTCCCCCCACTGAATGGTATTTCTAAATTAACGTAGTTGTTCCTCATTCTTTTTAGTAGTTGTGTAGTATTTCCATTTGTCATTACTTACTATGTAGTAATAGCGCTTTTTTATTCCTCTGTTGATGCTGCTGTGTCGTTCCAGTTTGTTGCTGCAGTGAACACACTTGTACATAAATGTTTGCAGTGTCGGGCAGGGCTTCCTGTAAGAGACAGAGTCCTAGAGGCGTAATTTTGGCAAACATGTCTGAGTCTGCCTGTTGGCGAGGCCTCGTGGTGTGTACCCCGGACTCCGAATGCGGTCCATCTTGTCTCCCTGTAGGCTTTGTCAGGAGAATAATTTGTGAAGGAACAAGGAAAAGAGGCCAGTGTCGGGACGGGCTCAGATCTTAATAGATGTCAGAGGTGCCTTCTCCCTCCCATGCAGATCTGTGCTGTTCTGGCTGCTGTCACTGAGGTGATTCGCTCCCAAGGAGGGAAGGAGACAGAGACTGAGTACTTTGCTGCACTGGTGAGTGGGTGTGACTTGGAAGTGGGTGTTCAGAACAGCAGGTGATCCCAGCAGTAGAGAGAAGGGTGCTCCTGGCGTCTGAAGATAGGGCAGGACACCCTTGAATAGGGGAAAGTGCTTCAGGGGAGTGTGGCTGGCTCAGTCAGAAGAGCATGCGACTCTTGATCTCCCCCACTTTGGACCAAGAGATTAACCAAACCAACCAACCAAACAGACAGACAGACAACATAACGACAAAACTGCTGTCATTCTCAGGTGGCTTGATAAGGCTGATGCTGTTTGCCACATTGTCATTCTAGAAAAAGAATCCACTACTCTGTTTGTTGTTGTTGTTGGCAAAGTGTGGCCAGGGGTGGGCCTGGGTTGGGGAGCCAAGACCCTTTAGTGGGGTTCGCTAGGCTATCAGAATTATCCCCATACTAACACTAGAACATGATTTGCCTTTTCATCTCATTCTTTCATGAGTGTGCTGTGGAGTTTTCTGGGAGTTACAGCATGTCTGATGATACTATTTTGAAGGCTAATTGTGCTCACGTATGCTTGTATTCTAAAATGTTCTGAGTTTTAATTTTTTAATATGGTAAGTATCAGTAATATAACCTATGTAAACAAAACCTCTTTGGGTGATTCTCCAAAAATGTTAAGAATGTAAAAGTTTGAGAGCCACTGCTGGCACAGGAGTTGGCAAACGTGGCCCATGGGGATAACCTGAACCATGGCCTGTTTCTGGACAGCCTTAGAGCTGAGAATGCTTTGTACATTTTTAAAGGATGGTTCAATAAACCCAGAAGAATACACAACAGAGACCATATATGGCCTGCAAAGCCTAAAATGTTTATTATCTCGCCCTTTACAGAAAAAGCTTTCCAACCCCTGCTCTAGAATAATGAGATGAGTTAGATAGAATGAATGATTTCTGTCACGTGCCCGGCACGTTATGATTTACATATAGTAATTTGGTGAAGCCTCACAATTTTCATCTGTTTTACAAGTGAGAACACTGAATCACAGAAAGGTTTAATTGCTAGCCTAAATCACACACTGGCATAGCCGGGATTTGAACATCTGATGCCAGTGGTCTTGGTCATAATCATTCTGCCGGGCACGTGGCATTCCCAGCACCCCGTTTGCCCAGCTTACACAGCTCCCATTCACACCTTGTGGTCTGGCCCGCAGATGACAACAATGGAGGCAGTGGAGTCCCCTGAGTCTCTGGCTGCTGTAGCTTATCTGCTGAACCTGGTCCTGAAGCGGTGAGTCCCGGCTCTGGTGTGAACCCCAGGTCTCTTGTGGAAAAAGGAGTGCAGGCAGGAGGAACAGGATCAGGGAACTGTTAGAACAAGAGGAGCGCCTGGGCGGCTCAGGTTATGATCTCATGGTTTGTGGGATTGAGCCCCATGTTGGGCTTTCTGCTAGGCATGGAGCCTGCTTAAGATTCTCTCTCCCTCTCTCTGTCCCTCCCCTGCTTGTGTGCACAGGCATGCATGCTCGTGCGCGTTCTTTCTCTCTCTCTCTCTCAGGAAAAAAACAAAAACAAAACAAGA